CTCGGGATTACCAAGACGCAGATTCTCGAGCTCAGCACGAGCCTGTACGGCTCTGGGGTCAGTTTAAGGGCGTGACGGGTAGCTTCGGATTTGTGATGTGTGTGTACGCCTGAACTTTTTCAGTGTTTGAGTGCCTTTTTTCCCCGGCCTGAATTGTATTCGGAGAGCATGTCTGGCGTAATCTCGTGCACAACATCGTTGTGTGCAGTGGTGTGACTCAACGGGGTTTGGTCTCGTGCCCCCTCACCGGCTTTTCCGTTCGGCTTGGTTGTGCTTCTGCGGGATGAGACGTGCAGTAGGTCTGCCGCATTGTTAATGTGCCACGCTATAGGCTTCTGAAGTGTTGTATATCTGTGTGGCGTCACCTACATCCGGCGCTGAGGCCCCTGAGAACGGCTTGGGTGTCAGCCGGCAGAAGTCGAGGGCTGCTGCCGAGGCGGGCTGTGGGTCAGGTGACCGGCTCAGGAGTCACCGGTGTCCGTCTGTAGCCCGCTGGTCGACCCACGCACCGGCACCGTCCGGCCGCCTCATCTCCGGACCGTCCACTCGCCCCCTCCCCCCCCCCCCCTTTGTAGGGCGTCTCCGGAACCGCGACCACGTCCGGCGGCGCGGCGCTCTGACGTCAGAGGCCCGGCGGCACGCCGACGGGGCCCATGTCGGCTCAGCAACCACGGCGACAGCCGGATAATGAAGACCGGCTCTAGCGGGCCCCCGCCGGGGCCGGACGTCATCCATCCCGTCACGACGGCCTGCCGGCTCAGCTCCGATACAGAGCCGGCGGCGGCCCGCCGGCTGGTGGGCCAGCGTGCGTGTGATAGGACGTCGACCGGCTCAGATCCGTATAGAGCCGGTGGTGGCCCGCCGGCTGGTGATAGAGCCAGTGGAGGCCCGCCGGCTGGTGATAGAGCCAGTGGAGGCCCGCCGGCTGGTGATAGAGCCAGTGGTGGCCCGCCGGCTGTTGATAGAGCCAGTGGTGGCCCGCCGCTGTTGATGGAGCCAGTGGTGGGCCCGCCGGCTGTTGATAGAGCCAGTGGTGGCCCGCCGGCTGTTGATAGAGCCGGTGGTGGCCCGCCGGCTGGCGATAGAGCCAGGTGGTGGCCCGCCGGCTGGTGATAGAGCCAGTGATGGCCCGCCGGCTGGTGATAGAGCCAGTGGAGGCCCGCCGGCTGGTGATAGAGCCAGTGGTGGCCCGCCGGCTGGTTGGCCCGCCGGCTGGTGATAGAGCCAGTGGTGGCCCGCCGGCTGGTGATAGAGCCAGTGGCGGCCCGCCGGCTGGTGATGGAGCCAGTGGTGGCCCGCCGGCTGGTGATAGAGCCAGTGTGGCCGCGGCTGGTGATAGAGCCAGTGGTGGCCCGCCGGCTGGTGATAGAGCCAGTGGTGGCCGCGCCGGCTGGTGATAGAGCCAGTGGGTGGCCCGCCGGCTGGTGATAGCCAGTGGTGGGCCCGCCGCTGGTGGGCCAGCGGGCGTGTGATAGGGCGTCGACCCGGCGCAGTCCGATGGACACACTTGGCGGGCTGGTTGTGGTGGAAATCAATAATCGAAGACTTACAGAAAAAACTAAGTGCGATGCGTGTATCCATGCACTTGTTTGTGCATTGCTTGGTAGTTAACATCCCTGCTAACAAGGCAGGCGGCACATCGATCAGAGCTGCTTGATCTGATCTGATTGCGTAATAGTCTGACCGGGGACCCGACCCCTACCAAGTCTGGTGTGCGGCAGCCCGAGTTTGACCGGGTGCTGGTCCCGGTCGGACTCGATCGGACCGGCCCTTGCCTTGTATGGCCCAGCGTTGGCTGACCTGAGCTGACTTTATGGAATATGGCAAGCCTATGTGCTGCATCGGCTTGCCGATCCGTATATCGGAAGCTCTACTCAGAGGCCGCTGAATGCTCGGCATCACCAGTCCAGCGTCGAGCATTGCTTGTTTCTGTAGTACCTCGCTGACCTTGCATACTTTTCGTGGCCTCTGGAGTCAGCGTTTCGATGCTGCAGCCACAAGCATGAGTCGCCGCGCTGGCCAGGCTGCCTGTATACAAGGACGGACGTGATGAAGGGCTTCCTCTTCCTCATTCAGGATCGTGGAATTGCATAAATGCATTGTTCGCCGAGTTGCTGCCATTGTTGTAGTAGCGTTCTGAGCACGTCCGCTTTTTCTTATCTTGAGTTGAGGGGGTTGTTGGTGTCAACATCTGAGGCGGTTTTTCTTTCAAGAGTAAACATGCAGTTTTGTGGACCTGGGTGACGTGACTACCACTGTTATGAACATATTTTGCTGGTTAAATGTCTGTCCTCCGTGTGCAGTGCATATTCGGAAAACGTTTCCTCGATGTTTTGAATGTGCATGCCATCTCCCTGATTCTCGCTCGTTATTTCTTGTTTTCTTCCCTTTTCTCGTCGTCTCTCACTCTCTGGTGCCTTATTTTCTCACTGTCTTTCTCCCATTCGTAGTTGCCGTCGTGCTATATGATTGGTCTGGCCCGTTTCAAGGGCTCTCGTGGATCGCTGGCTCCCACATCAAGGGCCGTCGAGTGGTGGCACTCCACGGGGTGACGCGACCCTATGAGGAACACGGGCCCCGACCCGATGGCTGGCCAGCGCTGGGTGCGGGACGCCGGCGCCCAGCGCTGGCCGTACCGAGCATTTCGAGGTGTTGCTGAAGCAGCCAGATCTCTGGCTTCACTACTCATGCCGTGTGAGCGGAGACGCAGCTGCGGTGATGGTGGTTGAGCTGTGGCCGCCTGCAGCTCGCCAGGCAGCCACGACAGCCCTGCTTGCCTGAGGCCCGGTCTCGCCCGCCCTGCCGCTCAGGGCGCGTCCGATCAGCGTGAGCGGCCGTTATTGAGTTTGGCGGCCGGGGTGGCGGGCGTGATCCGATCATGGTGGCCGGCGGACGCAGGCAGCCGATGTCATGACAGCCGGCCGACGACGCCCCGGGCGCTGTTTGTACGCGCCGCGGCCGCGACCTTTCGACCTTGGCCGGTGCCTTGCTGTTGCGAGGGCGAGGCGCGAAGACGGGAGGCGTGCTCAGCCGATCCGTGTCTGTGCGGTGCCAACGGGGGGCGTGCTCAGCCGATCCGTGTCTGTGCGGTGCCAACGGGGGGCGTGCTCAGCCGATCCGTGTCCTTGTGGAGCCGGCGGCGCGGCTAGCGTTAGCCGGAATTGACCGCTGCGGCAAGGCTGACGGTGTCGCTGTCGTACATGGGGCCGTGCCATAGGCTGACGGTGTCGCTGTCGTACATGGGGCCGCGTCATAGGCTGACGGTGTCGGTGCCGTACATAGGGCCGTGCCGTAGGCTGACGGTGTCGGTGCCGTACGTAGGGCCGCGTCATAGGCTGACGGTGTCGGTGCCGCACATAGGGCCGCGTCATATGCTGGCGGTATCGGTGCCGTACATAGGGCCGTGCCATAGGCTGACGGTGTCGCTGCCGTACGTACGGCCGCGCCACAGGCTGGCGGTGTCGGTGCCGTACATAGGGCCGCGTCATAGGCTGGCGGCGTCGGTGCCGTACATAGGGCCGTGCCATAGGCTGACGGTGTCGCTGCCGTACGTACGGCCGCGCCATAGGCTGGCGGTGTCGGTGCCGTACATAGGGCCGCGTCATAGGCTAACGGTGTTGGTGCCGTACATAGGGCCGTGCCACCGTGACTGATGATGTCACGCCGGCCAAGTTTCCGTGGGTGGGACTGTATCGAGGATACAACAGAGATAAACGGCGGCGTGTTTGGCCGTGAAGTGGCCCTGGGGCGTGCTCACGGCTCTGCAGCCTGAACAGACGTGGTCGCTTCTGGGCAGCCCTTCGTCGGCGCCTGATGGACGTGACGATACCGGGTATTGAATGGGCCGGAGCTGCACTGGCTCAAGGAGTGTGTGTTTCAGCTGCTGCTGGTCAGAGAAGTGTGGGAGTCGGCTGCTACTGGTTAGAGCAGTACGAGTGTCAGCTGCTCCTGGCCAGATGGGACGGGCGTGGTTGTGTGTGGGATCTGGGTTGTGGGTCTGGACTGTGTTCTGTAGGTATAGCCACACCGTAGTGGGGAAGAGAAGGATGGGGGTGGATCATTGTTTTGCGCGGCGAGATTTTAGCAGCGACCAACCTTCATCAACATGACCATTCAGGAGCGGTGTCGGCATGACGCCCGTACCGATCTTCGATAGTTCTCTCACTGTTGACCTCCGGTGTCTCACGTGACCTTGGCCTGTCTACGCAGCAAGCAAACGCCATGTACCGTTCCACAAACGGTGCCCGGAGCGTGTTGTCAGGCATGGTCGATTTGCGTCACTCCGGGGTCCTAATGATGCGATAAATGTGCGTGCCCTTGCTTGTGGCCGGCTCCCTGGCACTCCAGCTCCGGCAGGCGTGCAGGAGGTCGGCTCTAGTCACCCCCGGCCATCCGGGCCAAGATCAGCGCCTCAGACCGCTGGGTTGGAGCAGGCCGGGGCCAACAGATGCCCATCACGCCCACTGGCCAACAGATGCCCATTTCCGTTCTTTTATCAAAAGTCTGTGTTTGCAGTTACCCGTTCATTAAAGCCATTTAAGCAATGGAAGGCTTCTACAGATGTCTCAACTTTACGACAGGCTGTATTGGAAAATCCATTTCGTCTTAACGCATTGAAAAGCCGTCAAGCTACAGGCTGCGTCGCCTAACAGCATTCATTTGAGATGTAAGCTCGCCCATGCATGGTGAGCGGGCGCGGCTCCGGAGCATTGCTGAGTTGCCAACGCTGAATAATTTCTTAACGCAAAACATGCTGGACAGCAGCTGCGTTGCATCTCGCAAACACTCACCGCCGCTGTGTTTTAAGCACATCAAGCCCACGGCAAGTTACACGCTCAGCCCCAAGCCGTGTCGTCTGACAGCTCTGATTTGCAATGTAAACACGTCCCATGTGAGGCCGCTGCCGTTCCCCCTCGCTTCCCTCCGGCAGCGCTGCTGCTGACTTCCGTGACCCCGGTGGACCCGGTGTAACCGCCGTTAACCTTTGCCTCCTTCGCCAGAGTCTGTGCCGGCGAGATGCCTCTGCTGAGCCCTCGGAACAACGGCCGAATGGCCCACAACAGCGTGGCGCCGCGCAGCTCGCAGCTCTACACCGTGGAGGTGGGGGATACGCGCTTCCAGATCCTGAAGCGTTACCAGAACCTCAAGTCAATCGGTTCCGGCGCCCAGGGCATCGTCTGGTGAGTGCCGGCTCCTCCTCCTCCTCCGCCTCCATCTTCGCCTCCGCCCCCCGCCCCCGCCCCCGCCCCCGCCTCGCACCTCCGCACTCCATCTTCGCCGCCGCCCCGCCCCCCGCACCCGCCCCAGCCCCCGCCTCCGGCCCTCCGCCTCCGCCTCCGCCTCCGCCTCCGCCTCCCGCCTCCGCCTCCGCCTCCGCCTCCATCTTCGCCTCCGCCCCCGCCCCCCCCCCGCCCCGCCCCCGCCCCCGCCTCCGCCTCCGCCTCCGCCTCCGCCTCGCCTCCGCCTCCGCCTCCGCCTCCGCCTCCGCCTCCGCCTCCGCCTCCGCCCTCCGCCTCCGCCTCCGCCTCCGCCTCCGCCTCCGCCCCCCCCGCCCCCGCCCCCCGCCCCCGCCCCCGCCTCGCCTCCGCCTCTGTCTCCACCTCCGCTCCGCCTCCGCCTCCGCCTCCGCCTCCGCCTCCGCCTCCGCCTCCGCCTCCGCCTCCGCCTCCGCCTCCGCCTCCGCCTCCGCTTCTGCCTCCACCTCCGCCCCCGCCCCGCCTCTGCCTCTGCCTCTGCCTCCGCCTCCGCCTCCGCCTCCGCCTCCGCCTCCGCCTCCGCCTCCGCCTCCGCCCCCGCCTCCGCCTCCGCCCCCGCTCCGCCTCCGCCTCCGCCTCCGCCTCCGCCTCCGCCTCTGCCTCCGCCCCGCCCCCGACCCGCCCCCGCCTCCGCCTCCGCCTCCGCCTCCGGCTCCGCCTCCGCTCCCTCCGCCTCCGCCTCCGCCTCCGCCTCCGCCTCCGCCTCCGCCTCCGCCTCGCCTCCGCCTCCGCCTCCGCCTCTGCCTCCGCCTCCGCCTCCGCCCCCGCCTCTGCCTCGCTCCGCCCCCGCCCCTCCCCCGCCCCTGCCCCTGCCCCCGCCCCGCCTCCGCCTCCGCCTCCGCCTCCGCCCCCCCCCCCGCCCCCGCCCCCGCCTCCGCCTCCGCCTCTCTGTCTCCACCTCCGCCTCCGCCTCCGCCTCCGCCTCCGCCTCCGCCTCCGCCTCCGCCTCCGCCTCCGCCTCCGCCTCCGCCCCCGCTTCTGCCTCCACCTCCGCCCCCGCCCCCGCCTTGCCTCTGCCTCTGCCTCCGCCTCCGCCTCCGCCTCCGCCCCGCCCCCGCCTCCGCCTCCGCCTCCGCCTCCGCCTCCGCCTCCGCCTCTGCCTCCGCCCCCGCCTCCGCCCCCGCCTCCGCCTCCGCCTCCGCCTCCGCCTCCGCCCTCCGCCCCCCGTCTCTGCCTCCGCCTCCGCCTCCGCCTCCGCCCCCCGCCTCCGCCCCCGCCCCCGCCCCTGCCCCTGCCCCCGCCCTCCGCCTCCGCCTCCGCCTCCGCCTCCGACTCCGCCCCCGCCCCCGCCCCCGCCTCCGCCTCCGCCTCCGCCTCAGCCTCCATCTCCGCCTCCGCCTCCGTCGCCTCCGTCGCCTCCGCTTTGTGAGAAGCGGTCCTGAAGCTCCCGCCGTCATCGGCGGCGGGGTTGAGTCACATGGGTGCTCGGTAACGCTCCGCCCTTTCGGAGTTGGGTTGATGGTACGATTGCGCCATTGGATGATACGACGGTGCCATTTACAACGTGCTCGGGAGATCTGAAGCTGTGCGAACCCAGACCATACCCAGACGGATCTGTTTGTAACCAAATAGCACCGCTGGCCTTACTAGCCAACACAAAAGAGGTGAGCTGCGATCCATAAGGTATATTTGTGCTAAGAGTTCTGTTTCTTTGCGACAATGAATCTGCAAAGTTTTATCCATGACGGGGCCCCGGTGGGAAAGTGGCCCCACGCGGCGCTGCGTTCGTTGTGACTGCGTTTTAGTCCGAAGAGTTACGGCAGAAGGTAAAGCATTCAAGTGGTCATATTTAAGGTGTTCTTGATTTGTTGTAGTTGAAAGCCGCGCTTTACAACGCAGATTGTTTTCTCGTCCCAAGGAAGATGGAACTTGTTGAAAACTTGTGGGTAGTCTATGGCCTACTGGCCTATAAACTATGGCCCCTGGGTGACTGCAGATGTTGGACCTCACTGAGCTGCGTTTTAAAGCTGAGGCCTGGGGGTGCTTCAGGTGGACTCCTCGTGCCGCCACACGCGGCGTATTTTGAGGCCGAACCACATGGCTGCAGTCGCTGCCGTCGCGTTAACAAACTGGGCACCGCTCCGGCGTCGCAAGTCTCGCATCCAGCTGGCCTGCGCCTGCGCCGGGCAGTATCTCCAATTATGAAACAATTGGGAATAGCGGCGCTGTGTCGCGTGCCAATTACTGAATTCCTAACGAGCATCTATTTCGGTAGTTATTAAGGACTTCATTATTCCCGGGCTCGCAGGCGTTTTAAAATGAAACTTCAATGGTAAAATAGTCCAAGACTATCTGACCATCCGACCATCTGAACAGCACAGCGAGGTTTGCTGGTGACGTCAGGACTTCAGTTGTCAGCAGCCCCAGTAGAGCCAATGGCTGTCCATGTAGAGCAGTGGGCAGCCCCAGTAGAGCTGATGGCTGACCGCGGTCGGGAAATGTGCAGGGTTTCCGCTTGGCGGGCAGCTGTGGTCGCTCAAATGCGAGGGAATGTTGGGCTGGGTCTAGACGGTCCAATGCGTCCTCGACGGACTGGACGGGGTTCAGTGCGGGACCCAATCCAGCGTCGAAATGTGGCGCCGATTAGTTAGTGGTGCCTGCTGTGTGTCGCCCCCCCAGCAGGGGGCTAGGGCTGGTCGGGCATCAGCTGGTGGGCTGCCTTTACGCCGCCTGACGCGCGCCGGGTCCGTCGGCCGTCCGCCCGGCAGCTACCTATGGTGCGCCGACGGCTGGGGAAGGCGCCGGCCGACCAGTCAGCCGCAACTCAGGAATAGTCGGGCGGCCGCGTGCTGTGCCGAGCCGGGCGGCCGGTGGTCTCACGCAGGACGCAAGCGAGGCGCTGCCACCTCGGCGAAGGCTTAGCGCACAGTCGGGGGCGCTCAGCACCGTGGGCGTGGCGCAAACATGGAACAGGAATGCTTTGATTTGAAATGCGCCCAGACAATGCAATGCATGGCATGACAGTAAGCAGCATCACTGCCCGACGTTTGACCTGACCTTGGTGAGCAGCCGTGATGGGCATCAGACATTGACTAACAGGTAGCAATTTTGAATTTTTTTGTCCGTTAAAAGTTTCAAGTACAGCGTAGTAAGAAAAATATTGCCGGATTTAAGTTGCCCGTAGCACGTAATTGACTGGTCACATTGGCGAACGCATAGATGTAAAAGATGCACCAAGCAATGAAAATGCGTGACATTCATTGTTCACACTTGGTCATCACTCAGGGAACTCTTAATGGCGTGTGCTCTCCAGTTGCTAGCCTTTCTGAAGGAGGCAGAGGTTCACGAGCCCTTGCAGGTTATCGAACTTCCTGGTGCACAGGTCTGATGTGGTCTAGTTTACTACCTGGCCGGCGACCCAACTCAGGTCACCCAGGCGCTGCAGGCCCGCACGGCAGACCTGGCATTTTAGGACCACCTGTATATAAACATTTGGGCGTGGGAGGGGAAGGGTAGGTCTGGCGAGTCAGCTAGCCAGGGGCGCATGTCTGTCCCCGTGTCAGGCAGCCAGGGGTGTCAGTCTGTCCGCCTGTCAGCCAGCCAGGGGTGCCTGTCTGTCCGCGTGTCAGCCAGCCAGGGGTGTCACTGTGTTCGCCTGTCAGCCAGCCAGGGGTGTTGCTGGGGGCTCGCTGTCCGCTGGGGTGCTTTATCCAGGTTGGGGCCACAGGTAACGTATGGGTAGCCGTCCTGTCATGTGGATGTCAGTTCATGCCATTTTGCTCTCGAGGTCGTGTTCGAGCTGCCTCCCGAAGCGCTCTCAGCATGCTACCACAACCGCGTTATATACCACACCGGCGTCAGCGCTCCAGCCTGCAAACGCCGGCGTCCTCCACCACTCCTCTTATGATCGTGACCGTGGGCCCACTGAAAGAATAAGGTGGTGACGAGGCAGGCCGTCTGACCCCGTGACGCAGCACAGTGTCACCTTTTGACTTGTAGCGGGCCCGGCGGGGTGTTTGGCAGCTCCGAGCTCACCTGACCTCGTGACGCAGCACAGTGTCACCTTTTGACTTGTAGCGGGCCCGGCGGAGTGTTCGGCAGCTCCGAGGCCACCTTCCGTTCGCTTCTGTCGCTCAGATGCACCCTGCAAGTGCGAAATTGTTTTTGCACAAGAGGCCTGAGTTTTGAGTTAAAGCCTGAACGTCCGTATGTTGTAACGCTGGATTTCGTAGGCAAACGCACATTGACAGACTCCGTGCCGGACTCAGACAGACTCATGGACAGTTCTTTGCTCCGGATTGAGCAGCACCATGCTGCCAAGTAAAGTTCGGTCACATCAACTAAAACTACGGGGCACATGCTATCGAACGAAACAAAAGTGCATATAGTTGTGTGGTATTACGACCCACCATGCGCGTGTAAAATGAGGACACGTTTTTCTTCCTGGATATATATACATATACATATATATATATATATATATATATATATATATATATATATATATGTATATATATATATATATATATATATATATATCCAGGAAGAAAAACGTGTCCTCATTTTACACGCGCATGGTGGGTCGTAATACCACACAACTATATGCACTTTTGTTTCGTTCGATAGCATGTGCCCCGTAGTTTTAGTTGATGTGACCGAACTTTACTTGGCAGCATGGTGCTGCTCAATCCGGAGCAAAGAACTGTCCATGAGCCTATTGTGGCCATGTCGTGCATGTTTGATGACAGGTCACGGTGAGGCTGCCTGCTGGCTTTGCTGCCGTCTCGACCCTGGCCTGGTTGTGGTCAGTGGCTGTCGGGCCGTCCGCCGCAGGCAGCGGCTGAGCGGAGGGACGCTCGATGTCGCCCCCGTCGCTCGCTGCGACCGGACTGGTTCAGCTGTCAGCGTCAGTATCGAGCCGGGGCCAGCCGGAGCCGGCAACAGCGGCCGGAGTCGGACTGCGGCCGCCGGCTGACGGCCGCCGGTCCAGGGCTTCCAGCTGACTGAGCTGGGCTGGAACCTGTCGGCCGCCGGCTGACGGCCGCCGGTCCAGGGCTTCCAGCTGACTGAGCTGGGCTGGAACCTGTCGGCCGCCGGTATGAGTGTGAATGGTGTGAGCGGGGAGCGCGCGCAAACCGGTCCAGCCGAGGCAGATGAAGAGTGATGGCCACCGGGGGTGCGGTGTGCAGCTGGAGAGTGGTGGCCACCGGGGGTGCGGTGTGCAGCTGGAGAGTGGTGGCCACCGGGGGTGCGGTGTGCAGCTGGAGAGTGGTGGCCACCGGGGGTGCGGTGTGCAGCTGGAGAGTGACGGCCACCTGGGGTACGGTGTGCAGCCGGAGAGTGATGGCCACCGGGGGTGCGGTGTGCAGCCGGAGAGTGATGGCCACCGGTGGTGCGGTGTGCAGCCGGAGAGCGATGGCCACCGGGGGTACGGTGTGCAGCCGGAGAGTGACGGCGACCTGGGGTACGGTGTGTAGCCGGAGAGTGATGGCCATCGGGGTTGCGGTGTGCAGCTGGAGAGTGATGGCCACCGGGGGTGCGGTGTGCAGCCGGAGAGTGACGGCCACCGGGGGTGCGGTGTGCAGCCGGAGAGTGACGGCGACCTGGGGTACGGTGTGTAGCCGGAGAGCGATGGCCATCGGGGTTGCGGTGTGCAGCTGGAGAGTGACGGCTACCAACGAAGATAGGCATCATCTGGGACCTGGGAATGTTGTGAGAAGTGGACATTGACCACTGTTCATCAGTTGACAGAAAAAAATATGGACGAAAGGTAGAACTTTGTCCGTGTTGGGGACAGCTCAGGTAGATGAACAGGCGCGGGTGGTGTGGTCTTGGACCTATGAGATCTCATCTTGAAGATGACCTGCGAGGGAGTACTGGTGAAACAATATTATCAAGCAAACATTGTTACATATTATGAGAAACTTGACGTTGCGGGTAGCGCAGTGGCTCAGCTGTCTGTCTGGGAAGTCGGGGCACGGGGCTCGATTCCTCCGCGGTGCCCGTCTTTCCTGCCAGGATGAGGGGCAGGCGGGGGACGGGGCTCGATTCCCCCGCGGTGCCTGTCTTTCCTGCCGGGATGGGAGGCAGGCGGGGGACGGGACTTGATTCCCCCGCGGTGCCCGTCTTTCCTGCCAGGTTTGGGGGGGGGGGGGGGGGCAGGCGGGGGGCGGGGCTCGATTTCCCCGCGGTACCCGTGTCTCCTGCCAGGATGAGAGGCAGGCGGGGGACGGGACTCGATTCCCCCGCGGTGCCCGTCTTTCCTGTCAGGATGAGGGCAGGCGGGGGACGGGGCTCGATTCCCCCGCGGTGCCCGTGTTTCCTGCCAGGATGGGAGGCAGGCGGGGGGCGGGGCTCGATTCCTCCGCGGTGCCCGTGTTTCCTGCCAGGATGGGAGGCATGCGGGGGGCGGGGCTCGATTCCTCCGCGGTGCCCGTGTTTCCTGCCAGGATGAGGGGCAGGCGGGGCACGGGGCTTGATTCCCCCGCGTTGCCCGTGTTTCCTGCCAGGATTGGGGGCAGGCGGGGACGGGGCTCGATTCCCCCGCGGTGCTCGTCTTTCCTGCCAGGATGGGAGGCAGACGGCGTCATGTCTCAAGTACGCAGTGCGTCGTAAAGCCTTAATAATACACAGACGCCTACACACATACATACACGCCGTGATCCGGGGAGAGTGCTGAGTCTGGCTCTCACCGGCCCGTAAACCGGAGGCTCATATCAAGCCTATGATTTAGCCTCGACACCTTTCACTCAGAATTTGAAGGAACGTCAGCTGCTCGATAGGTAACATGGAGAAAGTGAGCTTGCTGCAGAATAAGCACCTATTGTTTAACGAGCATGGATAAAGTTGAATGGGGCAAGCCAGAAATATGTATGGTTCGGTTCAGGATAAGGCTATCCTGGAAATGCTTCCAATGCCAGTGGCAGGTTGTCAAGGACGCGTTCAGTAGGCCGAAAGATCGTGTGCGACGTTACCAGCCGGGCTACTTGTCATCTGGAATGTAGTATCTCCGGAAGGGGCATGGTCAGTTGGAGATCATGGACGTCCAGCCTGGATGCACATGACTGCGAGTCGTGCTGCTTGTGCACCACGCCGTTGGTGCGAACGTCAGCACTATCTAATTAGTTGCCTCTTTAGGTCGTATCGGATCGTCCGACTCTCGGCGCCAGATATGTTCTTCATCGGCGCCGACCGGATTCCCTTTGTTCCCGGGGTAGGGTACGGTCATTTGTTGCACGTGCCTGGGCGGAGATTGGTCGGTGGGTCGATAGCTTGGGGCGGCCGGCGGGGCGACAAACTCTCCTCCCCCGCGCTGCCAGCGTCTGCGGCCGGAGCGGGCAGGAGCCGGTAGCGGCGGCCGGAGCAGGGCAGGAGCCGGTGGCGGCCGGCCGGAGCGGACAGGAGCCGGTGGGGGCGGCCGGAGGCGGGCAGGAGCCAGGTGGGCGGCTCGGCCAAGCGGGGCCAGGAGCCAGTGGGCCAGTGGCGGCTGGCCGGAGCGGACAGGAGGCCGGTTGGCGGCCGGCCGGAGCGGACAGGAGGCCAGTGGCGGCGGCGGATGAGGGCCAGGAAGGCCAGTGGCATGGCGGCCGGAGCGGACAGGAGCCAGTGGCGGCGGCCGGAGCGGACAGAGCCAGGTGGCGGGCGGCCGGAGCGGACAGAAGGAGCCCGTTTGGACGACGGCCGGAGCGGACACGAGCCAGTGGCGGCGGCCGGAGAGCGGACAGGAGCCAGTGGCGGCGGCCGGAGCGGACAGGAGCCAGTGGCGGCGGCCGGAGCGGACAGGAGCCAGTGGCGGCGGCCGGAGCGGACAGGAGCCGGGGGCGGCGGCCGGAGCGGACAGGAGCCGGTGGCGGCGGCCGGAGCGGACAGGAGCCAGTGGCGGCGGCCGGAGCGGACAGGAGCCGGTGGCGGCGGCCGGAGCGGACAGGAGCCCGGCGGCGGCCGGAGCGGACAGGAGCCAGTGGCGGCGGCCGGAGCGGACAGGAGCCAGTGGCGGCGGCCGGAGCGGACAGGAGCCAGTGGCGGCGGCCGGAGCGGACAGGAGCCAGTGGCGGCGGCCGGAGCGGACAGGAGCCGGCGGCGGCGGCCGGAGCGGACAGGAGCCGGCGGCGGCGGCCGGAGCGGACAGGAGCCAGTGGCGGCGGCCGGAGCGGACAGGAGCCAGTGGCGGCGGCCGGAGCGGACAGGAGCCAGTGGCGGCGGCCGGAGCGGACAGGAGCCAGTGGCGGCGGCCGGAGCGGACAGGAGCCAGTGGCGGCGGCCGGACGACAGGAGCCGTGGGCGCCGGCCGGACAGGAGCCAGTGGCGCCGGCCGGAGCGGACAGGAGCCAGTGGGCGGCGGCCGGAGCGGGACAGGAGCCAGTTGGCGGCGGCCGGAGCGGAACAGGAGCCAGTGGCGGCTGGCCGGAACGGACAGGAGCCAGTGGCGCCGGCCGGAGCGGACAGGAGCCAGTGGCGCCGGCCGGAGCGGACAGGAGCCGGCCGGAGCGGACAGGAGCCGGCCGGAGCGGACAGGAGCCGGTGGCGCCGGCCGGAGCGGACAGGAGCCGGTGGCGGCGGCCGGAGCCGGACAGGAGCCGGTGGCGGCGGCCGGAGCCGGACAGGAGCCGGCGGCGGCCGCCCCGGCGAGCTGTTCCACTGACTGCTGCTGCTATGAACAGGCCATCCCTGATGTCATGTCGTCAGGGGGGATTTTTTACGTCATGTCGTCAGGGGAGGGGGGGCACAGGCGTTGGAAGAGAGTCACGTCGCTCGTCTTGTTCAAGTGTGAAATACCTGGAACAAAAAAGGGATCTTGAGTGTTCCCCACCCGCTTGTGGAAGCGTGGAGTGCATGGGAAGTACATTATGATGGGGGTGGGTTGTATCAGACGTCTCCGAGCTGATGGGCGACATAATGGCGGCCCGCTGGCATCCGTGCCGCTCTGTAGTGACGCGGCTTTCATTCAAGCTGGGAATCCGTGTATCGTTGTATCGAGTGCGCGTTCGGCGTGGCCATCTGTGCAGCTCAGTCAGGTGACCGGTGTGTCTGTGCGTTGTACCTGTCCCGCAGCCCGAGTGCTGCTGTGTGCTGGAACGTTCCGTCCCCCTGCCCCGGACCGATCTGTTGTCTCCTTGCCCCCAACTGGACGTATAACGCTGTCTCCCTGCCCCCAACCTGCTCTGTAAGACTGTCCCCCTACCCCCAGCCTGACCTGTAACGCTGTCCCCTGCCCCCAACCCGCTCTGTAAGACCGTCCCCTACTCCCAGTCTGACCTGTAACGCTGTTCCCCTGCCCCCAACCTGCTCTGTAAGACTGTCTTCTACCCCCAGTCTGACCTTTAACGCTGTTCCCCTACCCCCAGCCTGACCTGTAACGCTGCCCCCCTGCCCCCAGCCTGACCTGTAGCGCTGTCCCCTACCCCCAGCCTGACCTGTAACGCTGCCCCTGCCCCCAGCCTGACCTGTAACGCTGTCCCCTATCCCCTGACCTGTAACGCTGCCCCCTGTCCCCATCCTGACCTGTAACGCTGCCCTCCCTCCCCCAGCCTGACCTGTAACGCTGCCCCCCTGCCCCCAGCCTGACCTGTAACGCTGCCCCTGCCCCCAGCCTGACCTGTAACGCTGCCCCCCTGCCTCCAGTCTGACCTTAAACGCTGCCTCCCTTCCCCCAGCCTGACCTGTAACGCTGCCACCTGCCCGCAGTCTGACCTGTTACGCTGCCCCCTACCCCTAACCCGCCCTGTAACCTGTCTGTAACCAACCTGTCCTCCGCCCGCAGCTCAGCGCTGGACACGCTCTCCAACCGTCAGGTGGCCATCAAGAAGCTGAGCAGACCGTTCCAGAACGTGACGCATGCCAAACGCGCCTACAGAGAGTTCAAGCTGATGAAGCTGGTCAACCACAAAAACGTGAGACCGCAACTGTGGTGTGAGACTTTCGAAGACCTTGTTTGCGCCGGGAAAAGCAGACCAACTGTGCATTGAGACGATGTCTGGTTCGCCGAGGAGAGGCCTTCCAAGGCGTTGAGGACTGCTTTCAAGGCATTGACAACCGACCATGACTTTCGGTAACTGTGATTTATGAAAAGACATTTGAAGTGTTCCTTGGGCTGAGGATAATTTCCATTCACCCTAGGTGAAGCGAACGGGTGGCACGTGCGGTTCGCTCACGCCGGATGATTACACACATGCGATTGTCCGTTGACAGCAGGACGTTGATAGTTCCGTAGAAAAGGCACACTGGTGTTTGTTACTTGGAAACATGTTGTGCATCTAAAATGATGATGAAACTGTTGGTGCCCCTGAATGATGTAACGTTGACGTCGCCCCAGAAAGCAAGTGGTAGTAACCCTAAAAGGCGGGGCTAAAGCTCTCGGCTTGATAACATTTTTGAAACAACTGGAGCGATAAATGGTCATAGGCCAGTGCAACTCGGAACCTCTTTGGTGCACGCTTGTTTACAGGCGACGGGGCAACATTGAAAAATATAATGCACAAGGTTGTAAGATTGCCGCGTGTCTCAAAGCGTCGGTGGTATGTTGTGTGATTGACTTACTATGACGCCACTTCTTAGGGTCGAAAGTTTTGATGCCAGATTTTGGGGCGCACAAGCGTTTTATTATATTCGGCATAGGGGCACGGGCGCATTGCAATCACGTGCAGATATGTTGGTCTGATCGCCGTCAGTAAGTGTCGTGGTTCGGGGTCATATCGCACCAGCTCTCACCCTGTTTGGCGATGGCCCTGAGGAAACGCATCGTGCACTGGGGCTGAAATCAGATCTCGTCATCTGCTGGCCTGGAACAGATGTCAGGTACGATGCGTGCGTCACACTGCGTGATAAACCCTCCACCTGGCATCTGTTCTATACTCTTCTGTCAAATAGGAAGGCCGACGGTTCAGTTTCAGTTCAGTTTTGTCTGTACCGTGCCGTGCCATGGTGCGGCGCCGGCTCCAATCATTTGATGGTGGCTTGTCGGCCGGTGCCAGCAGCTGGAGAGCCGCCGTGGGGCGCCACGTTACGCGACCACGCGACCTCCTGCCCTCTCCTGCGCCGCGGATGGGGCGTGTTACGCGACCACGCGACCCCCTGCCCTCTCCTGCGCCGCGGATGGGGCGTGTTACGTGGCCACGTGACCCCCTGCCCTCTCCTGCGCCGCGGATGGGGCGTGTTACGTGGCCACGTGACCCCCTGCCCTCTCCTGCGCGGGGAATGGGGCGTGTTACGTGGCTACGCGACCCCCTGCCCTCTCCTGCGTGGGGGATTGGGCGTGTTACGTGGCCACGCGACCCCCTGCCCTCTCCTGCGCGGGGCGTGGGGCGTGTCGCCTCTCGGTATGAGCAGCTGCACGCGGCCCGAGACGTACGAGATGTGGGCGGCGAGAGGGCGCTGCCGCCAGCGCCCAGACCGCGCGCCGCTCGAAGGCACGCGAGCTCGGGCTCATAACCCAGCCGACGCGTGCTGAATGCCAGGGCGAGCGGGCCACGCCCGGCTCCGCGGCAAGGTCGGCCGTACCTGGAAGGCTTTCGATGGCTACTCGCCGTAATTTTTCGGGCGTTTCCTTCCACTGGGGTTACCGTCGTTAAAAAGGTCCTTTAAAGGCCTGCCAATTTGCCAGTTGAATGGCATTATTGCGTGCTTTTGATAAGTATGGTAGATGTGGAGTGTGTATTTGTCCTTACTGCGTATACGGCAACCCAGTAACCTATCATCTCCGTTTCCCCGCCATTGCTGACATTTGTGAAAACACCAGTCGTAGACATGTCATTTGGGGTGCCGGTAGTGTAGTGGTTAACGCGTCTCCACTGCGCGTCTGGGAAACCAGAGGTACGGGGTTCGATTCCCCGCGGTGCCCGCCCTTCCTGCCAGGGTGAGAGACAGGCGACGCCATATAGCCTCAGCAGCTGAATGCGTCGTAAAGCCCCAATCACACACACAGACATGTCATTGCGGCCGATCTTCGGAGGTGAATGATGGAATCACCGTGTGCTTTTATCATATAGGCGAATTGCGTTTGTATGAAGAGACCGCACACCAAAGGTCTCATCCGTGCTTTTCCCCGTTAAAATTTTTTTCTGACGAAGCATACCTTCATTCAGCGGATCTGTCTCGGTCCGCCCGCTCCGAATAAGCGCCCAACGTCGGACCATGCGTCATCACGCGGTCTTCAATATTCAAAATGTGAAGTTGTGCAAGTTATGACAATCACATCCTACCCTATTCAAAATACCAAGCCTTGCCGCTGGTACTAAATCCAGGACACGAACCACGACCACGAAGCATTATGTTATGGGCTGCGGCCACTTGATCAAGATACTTAGTTACGTTCCGAGTAACTGGTTCTTGCGTTTCTCTAAAAGGTGGTAAGTTTTTCCAATACGGTATTTCCACTTGTTCTGGTACATTAAGCATATCTTCACCTATATGTGTATTGAAATATTGTTATAGCCAATCCCAAATATCATATAAGTCAAGACCAAGCTGGTGTACACTCTCTCCGTTATTATATAGTTAGATGCAAAGAAGTAACAAAATCATTTTTCAGGTTTCCAGCAAAGGAGTGGTAGGTGAGAGTGAGAGTGAGAGTGAGAGTGAGAGTGAGAGTGAGAGTGAGAGTGAGAGTGAGAGTGAGAGTGAGGGTGAGGGTGAGGGTGAGGGTGAGGGTGAGAGTGAGAGTGAGAGTGAGAGTGAGAGTGAGAGTGAGAGTGAGAGTGAGAGTGAGAGATGAGAGAAGAGAGAGAGAGAGAGAGAGAGAGAGAGAGAGAGAGGAGGAGAGAGAGAGAGAGAGAGAGGGAGAGAGGGAGAGAGAGGTGATGGTGGTGAGATGAGATAGACCCGGACGTGGGCCGCTTTGTGTTGTGTTGCGTTAACCTGCCGTGCGGTCGGCCGGCAGATCATTGGTCTGCTGAATGCCTTCACGCCGCAACGGACGCTGGACGAATTCTCCGACGTGTACCTGGTGATGGAGCTGATGGACGCCAACCTCTGTCAAGTCATCCAGGTAACGGTGGGTGTGACTTAACTATCTCGCTCTCAGGTCAGCAGGAGAACGGTGGGTGTGACCCCGGCTTCCACAGACGCAAGCCAGCCGGCCAGGGGTGCTCCCCGCTCCATGTGTGCGCAGTAGTTATGCAGGTTGCCAGGTAGCGAGAGGAGTGTGTGTGGGGGGGGGGGGGGGGGCGGTAACCTTAACTTTCTGGCTCCGGCAGGTGAGACAGTGAAGGCCGTGTGCGTTCATGTGTGCGTGCGTGCGCGCGTTTGCGTGTGCTTTACCAGAATTACACCCTACACCCTGTGGCGTCACATTGCCACTCAGTCTCCCTTTTCGCAACTGGCGGGGCAGTGCTGACCTGTCAGCACCAAACGTGTTCCTAGATCTTGGGACTCATTTTCCGGATCGGATCCCAATCTCCTGTATCTTCCAGAATCTAGGGTCCACGTTAAGACTTTTCTGATGAATTTTCTGGCATCTGTGATCTTTTGCGTTGCCTTACCAAAGCATGTTGGGGAGTGGGCGATCTTTTTGTGGTCTTCATCGATGTGTCCTTTCGTAACTAGGATTTTCCTGGGGTATTGTTTCTGAATTTCCCTGGCCCAATCGTGCGAAGTTATACAGTTTTTTATGAGCTCTCAGCCAGACCAAGGCGACATGAGCCGTTCCATTTCCAAAATTAAGCTGTTAATTTGCGACAGGCTGACAACACTGAGGTGTCGCCGAAATCCGGCTTGCCGGGCTGCTTGTGTCAGCAGAACATGCGACCCTCATGAACCAGCTCCTTGGCGCCCGTTGATACGCTGCAATGCCTGCACACATCTCCTCCTGTGAATGGTGTATTTTGCTGACAAAGAATGTTTCAGGAAAGCTATTAGGTGGCCCCCGTAGGCGGTCTCTAGCAGTCAACAGCTGCCAACATTGTCAATGACTCTCTACCATGCATGTGGTCTGACAGATGTCTGAAATTCCAAAAGGCAGTGCGTCCCATCGCTGCCAAGCCTGAACCTATCCCGCAAAATCATGTTACTCCAGCACAATTTGACCCCGGTATTTCGTTTCTCAAAACTGCATCGGAGGCAGTGTATTACAGAGAAGTGAGGAAGATTATGCAAGAGGGTATTGAAAATACGATGGCAGCACGTTCCATTTCACACATTTTAAGCGAAAAAATGTGAAGGCATGTACTACATACCAACAAGCAAGAGGTCGTTAACAACATGCAGCGCACGCTCTGATCCACGTGGTAATCTGACGGAAGCAATGACAACACGCATTCTGATTTAAGCCCGTGTTTGAAAATATATGCACACACACACACGCACGCACGCACGCACGCACGCACGCACGCACGCACGCACGCACGCACGCACGCACGCACGCACGCAATCATTACAGACCAAACATATTGGAAAGGGCATGATGAATTAAATGTATTATTTTCATAGTGGTGAGCGGGGAGTCGAGTGAGATTTCTTCCGCAGGAGAAACGAAATTGAAATCGGAATTCTGATCGCTTCAGAAGGATTTCGAGAAAATTGACGTTGCTGATCAAATTGTGCGTGCCTGATCTGACAATTAGTGAAACGTACAAAAAAGGGAATGCCCTGAAAAGACGTAAAGCCCCAGCTCTGCTACCTCGAGATGTCGTCTGTCAGGCGGCAAAGGCAGGGCTGGGCTGTAGCTGCCCCAGACCTCAGGCTCCACTGCCAGCCGGGTTTCCGCCGCCCTCGTTCGGGTATGAGTCTGGTGCCGTGTTTCCGCCGCCCTCGTCTGGCCCGCTGGAGTCCGGGTATGAGTCTGGTGCCGTGTTTCCGCCGCCCTGGTCTGGCCCGCTGGAGTCTGGGTATGAGCCTGGTGCCGTGTTTCCGCCGCCCTCGTCTGGCCCGCTGGAGTCCGGGTATGAGTCTGGTGCCGTGTTTCCGCCGCCCTGGTCTGTCTCGCTGGAGTCTGGGTATGAGCCTGGTGCCGTGTTTCCGCTGCCCTCGTCTGGCCCGCTGGAGTCTGGGTATGAAACTGTCTGTGCTGCCAGCGGCGCCTCGCGCGGCCGCCGCCGCTGCCGTTCAGTCATGCTCAGGCGACGCGTACACACGCCGCCGCTGGCGCCTGGCTGCGGCGCTCGTCCCGCCCGGCCCGGTGCGGCTGACCCCAGCTGACGACCAGGCCGCTCTGTGTGCTGCTGGTGGCTGTCTGCTGTGCTAGGGGCTGCGTACGATGCTGCTGACACGTCACCAGTCGGCCGCTGCCGCCGGGCCGCTGCCGCCGGGCTGCTCCTGCCGGGCCGCAGCTGCCGGGCCGCTGCCGCTGGGCCGCTGTCGCCGGGCCGCTGTATGTGCTGCCGGTGTCACTCCGTACGCGGCTGCGTCATCTCACCGCCTCGGCCTACAGGAGCCCGCTGTATATGCTGCCTCTCTTGTGGAATTGCAGTTTGGACTAGTCGTACTTCGAATGCGGCTCTGCTGCTTCGCGTATTCTGCTACTGGTGACAGTGTCGTTGATGCTGGCATTGACATGCTTGCGCCGAATGCGCCCCACCGTAACCGCTCCTAATACTTGCCTGTGTCGGCATTACACGTGTTTCCGCTGCGCACTTGTAGGCGTGTTTGGGCCGTGACCGCTGTTGCCGTGGCGTGGCGTCCGTACCTGGCGCGGGCTTCTGACGGGCCGCCACCGCTGGTGTGCACGAGCGAGCGCGGCAGCCGTCACACGTGGGCCGCGGGCCGAGTGGCTGTCGCAGCCCGCAGCGCCTGAGACCGACGCTAGGGCGTCGCCGGCCTGCCCCTGCGCATAGCTCTCTACACCGCATCGCTTGCTTCACACCGTACGCGCTTCGGCTATCCCCTGCCGCTGTACCCGCTGCCTGCTTCACAGTACGTCGCTGGTGCCTGGCGGACCAGACCGGCCATGCCAAAGTTTCGTCACGCTTGCTGCAGCATCGTCTGGCCATGGCGGGCGTCGCCCGCGCTCTCCCAGGCTCGCTCCCCTCCCAGAGGTGCATTGGTGCTCTGTCTGAGCGTCCTGGATCTGTCTGTTGCAGCTGGACCTGGATCACGAGCGCATCTCGTACCTGATGTACCAGTGTCTGTGTGGTATCAAGCACCTACATCTGGCGGGCATCATTCACCGGGTGAGTGGAGGGGGGGGGGGCATAGTGCTCCACGTCCGACCCCGCCGGCAGCGACCGGAGTGGCCCCGGGAGGAGGAGGAGGAGGAGGAGGAGGAGGAAGGAGGAGTTTTGCCCTGACCGGTGCGGAACGGTGATCTGAGAAACCGACCAGGGACGTATCGTAATGTGCCACTGTCCTGGTACTCAGTCGGCCACGGACCTGGCGGTGCAGCACGCCGGCGCCACGTCGGAGACACCGTGACCCAATCGCCATCCGGATCTTGCTGCCATGACAACCTGATGACATCGGGTACAGTGCGGCCGGGAATAGTTTAGGGGTGCGGATCGGCCGGCGCAACGCTGCCCAACTTGAGAAAGTTGATTGAGCTCTCGTCGTTGCTATGGAAACTAGTGCGTCAATGTAACCTTAGGGCGGATGTTCACAATAAATGGCTCTAGCTGGCCACTGCTGTTAAGTCGTTTGCTCTCCGCGAAAGCCACCGCTAAAGCGCCAATCTAAGCTGCGGTCGAGCCCGGCCCTTATTGTATACAGTACGATGGCCGACGGTGTCGGTGTCGGCGTCGCCACGTCGGCGGTTGGCCCTGATCAGCAAACGGCTGTTGGTACGCCACGTCGGCGTTCGGCCCTGATCAGCAAACGGCTGTTGATACGCCACGTCGACGTTTGGCCCTGATCAGCAGACGGCTGTGATACGCCACGTCGGCGTTTGGCCCTGATCAGCAGACGGCTGTTGGTACGCCACGCCGACGTTTGGCCCTGATCAGCAAACGGCTGTTGGTACGCCACGTCGGCGTTTGGCCCTGATCAGCAGACGGCTGTTGGTACGCCACGTCGGCGGTTGGTTCCCCGGGTCGCCGACGGCCTCCAACCTGACCCACCACGGACGTGCGGCGGCCGGGCTGGATACAGCGCGGACGCCCGCTGGCCTGTAGACTGGCCCGCCCGTACGCCACTGGTGCCGCGCTCTGATCCGGTCCCGTGCTGCAGCTCACTGCGGCGGGTGTCTGAGCTCTGGTCCGGTCCCGTGCTGCAGCTCACTGCGGCGGGCGTCTGAGCTCCGGTCCAGTCCCGTGCTGCAGCTCACTGCGGCGGGTGTCTGAGCTCCGGTCCAGTCCCGTGCTGCAGCTCACTGCGGCGGGTGTCTGAGCTCCGGTCCAGTCCCGTGCTGCAGCTCACTGCGGCGGGTGTCTGAGCTCCGGTCCAGTCCCGTGCTGCAGCTCACTGCGGCGGGTTGTCTGAGCTCCGGTCCAGTCCCGTGCTTGCAGCTCACTGCGGCGGGGTCTGAGCTCCGGTCCAGTCCCGTGCTGCAGCTCACTGCGGCGGGTGTCTGAGCTCTGAGGACCGCTCTCCGGATCTGGTCTAATTCGTCCCGGCGGCGGCTGGGCTCATCGCCCTCTCGGTCTTTCCCGGGGCGTGTTCTCGCTCGTGTGTACCGTACAGCCATGCCTGTGCTGCCTTCCCTCATGGTTACCCTGTACCGCACAGCCTGCCTGTGCTGCCTTCCCCATGGTTACCCTGTACCGCACAGCTGTGCCTGCTGCCTTCCCTCATGGTTACCCTGTACCGCACAGCTTGCCTGTGCTGCCTTCCCCCATGGTTACCCTGTACCGCACAGCTTGCCTGTGCTGCCTTCCCCCATGGTTACCCTGTACGCACAGCTTGCCTGTGCTGCCTCCCCCATGGTTACCCTGTACCGCACAGCTTGCCTGTGCTGCCTTCCCTCATGGTTACCCTGTACCGCACAGCTTGCCTGTGCTGCCTTCCCTCATGGTTACCCTGTACCGCACAGCTTGCCTGTGCTGCCTTCCCTCATGGTTACCCTGTACCGCACAGCTTGCTGTGCTGCCTTCCCTCATGGTTACCCTGTACCGCACAGCTTGCCTGTGCTGCCTTCCCTCATGGTCACCCTGTACCGCACAGCTTGCCTGTGCTGCCTTCCCTCATGGTCACCCTGTACCGCACAGCTTGCCTGTGCTGCCTTCCCTCATGGTGACCCTGTACCGCACAGCCTGCCTGTGCTGCCTTCCCTCATGGTCACCCTGTACCGCACAGCCTGCCTGTGCTGCCTTCCCTCATGGTCACCCTGTACCGCACAGCCTGCCTGTGCTGCCTTTCCCTCATGGTCACCCTGTACCGCACAGCCTGCCTGTGCTGCATTCCCTCATGGTGACCCCTGTACCGCACAGCCTGCCTGTGCTGCCTTCCCTCATGGTCACCCTGTACCGCACCAGCTTGCCTGTGCTGCCTTCCCTCATGGTCTACCCTGTACCGCACAGCCTGCCCGTGCTGCCTTCCCTCATGGTTACCTTGTACCGCCACAGCTTGCCTGTGCTGCCGTCTCTCATGGTCACCCTGTACTGCACAGCTTGCCGTGCTGCCTTCCCTCATGGTTACCTGTACCGCACAGCTTGCCTGTGCTGCCTTCCCTCATGGTTCACCCTGTACCGCACAGCTTGCCTGTGCTGCCTTCCCTCATGGTTACCCTGTACCGCACAGCTTGCCTGTGCTGCCGTCTCTCATGGTCACACTGTACGGCACAGCTTGCCCGTGCTGCCTTCCCTCATGGTTACCCTGTACCGCACAGCTTGCCTGTGCTGCCTTCCCTCATGGTCACCCTGTACCGCACAGCTTGCCTGTGCTGCCTTCCCTCATGGTTACCCTGTACCGCACAGCTTGCCTGTGCTGCCTTCCCTCATGGTTACCCTGTACCGCACAGCTTGCCTGTGCTGCCTTCCCTCATGGTTACCCTGTAACCGCACAGCTGCCTGTGCTGCCTTCCCTCATGGTCACCCTGTACCGCACAGCTTGCCTGTGCTGCCTTCCCTCATGGTCACCCTGTACCGCACAGCTTGCCTGTGCTGCCTTCCCTCATGGTCACCCTGTACCGCACAGCCTGCCTGTGGCTGCCTTCCCTCATGGTCAACCTGTACCGCACAGCCTGCCTGTGCTGCCTTCCCTCATGGTCACCCTGTACCGCACAGCCTGCCTGCTGCCTTCCCTCATGGTCAACCTGTACCGCACAGCCTGCCTGTGCTGCCTTCCCTCATGGTGACTGTACCGCACAGCCTGCCTGTGCTGCCTTCCCTCATGGTCACCCTGTACCGCACAGCTTGCCTGTGCTGCCTTCCCTCATGGTTACCGTACCGCACAGCCTGCCCGTGCTGCCTTCCCATGGTACCTTGTACCGCACAGCTTGCCTGTGCTGCCGTCTCTCATGGTCACACTGTACTGCACAGCTTGCCCGTGCTGCCTTCCCTCATGGTTACCCTGTACCGCACAGCTTGCTTGTGCTGCCTTCCCTTCATGGTCACATGTACCGCACAGCTTGCCCGTGCTGCCTTCCTCATGGTTACCCTGTACCGACACAGCTTGCCCGTGCTGCCTTCCCTCATGGTACCCTGTACCACACAGCTTGCCCGTGCTGCCTTCTCATGGTCACCCTGTACCGCACAGCCTGCCGTGCTGCCGTCTCTCATGGTCCACTGTACTGCACAGCTTGCCCGTGCTGCCTTCCCTCATGGTTACCCTGTACCACACAGCTGCCCGTGCTGCCTTCCCTCATGGTCACCCTGTACCGCACAGCTTGCCTGTGCTGCCTTCCCTCATGGTTACCCTGTACCACACAGCTTGCCTGTGCTGCCTTCCCTCATGGTCACCCTGTACCGCACAGCTTGCCTGTGCTGCCTTCTCTCATGGGGACCCTGTACCGCACAGTGCCTGTGCTGCCTTCCCTCATGGTGACCCTGTACCGCACAGCTGCCTGTGCTGCCTTCCCTCATGGTGACCCTGTACCGCACAGCCTGCCTGTGCTGCCTTCCCTCATGGTGACCCTGTTACCGCACAGCTGCCTGTGCTGCCTTCCCTCATGGTGACCCTGTACCGCACAGCTTGCCTGTGCTGCCTTCCCTCATGGTTACCCTGTACCACACAGCTTGCCTGTGCTGCCTTCCCTCATGGTCACCCTGTACCGCACAGCTTGCTTGTGCTGCCTTCCCTCATGGTTACCCTGTCGTGAAGAGCCCCATGTCACGGTATGACAATGCGAGAACCAAGTGCGCGCCGCACAAGCGCCGTTCGAGGCGTTGTGCCTTATGGCGTGATGCCGTAAGCCCCACTTAACGTGGCCTTGGGATCTGTTGTGATGTCACATTATATGTAGTGACGTCATGTGACTACTGTCAGGATCTTAAGCCGAGTAACATTGTCGTGAAGACGGACTGCACGCTCAAGATCTTGGACTTCGGTCTGGCGCGCTCCACCGGCACATCGTTCATGATGACGCCCTACGTGGTGACGCGCTACTACCGCGCCCCCGAGGTCAGTATCGGCTCCTCCCCCCTCCCTTCCCCGGTGTCAGTATAGCGCCCCCAAGGTCAGTATTGCGCCCCCAGAGCTCAGCACTGCGCCCCGCATGTGTCGGTAAGGCGCCCCATGAGGCTGGTGGCGCTCTCGAGGGTTTACTGTGGCACCCCTCAGTCACCTGTGTGTCGCCGAGTTCAGCACAGGGCCTCTCGCGACCACTTCCTATCCCATCAAGCCAGTGCCTCCCCCGCTTTGTTACTGTGTTTCTTCGAACATTTTCAGGCATTCATTTAGTTGTGATGGAACATTTTTTTCGTGTTTCTATGAAAATTGATATATGCCTACTCCCTCCCAGACTTTCAATGCCGCTAGACCATTTGCCACGTAGTTTAGCGGGTTGAGGCCACCTTGTGAGGGGCTGGATGAAAGGGTGCCTAGAAACAATGTGGAAAAATACATCCTCTCATTATTGGCGAACTGCTCCCATGTTAAAGCAAGGTCGTCATGTGTTCATATCGATCAGCCAACAGGCGTTCAGTCTGGACTGTTGAAAGCTGAATGGGCTTGGCAACGGAATTACAGGCCGCTGCGTGTTAATCTGTATATTATATTTCCGTTCCATGTCATCTGTGCGCCATAAAGGTAATGAGATTGTGTTATAGTTGGGTGGGGACCGCTCGGACGCGTCACCCTATATCCTTCACCGTCTAGGCGCCGACGGCAACCGCGGCCGAAATGCGACCAGCCCCTCGCCGCCATGGCCCCCTGTATCAGCTGATTAAACGCTAATGAAATTGTGTGCCGGAGCGTAGGAGTCGACGACCAAAACAGGCGTCCAGCGACGGGGCGGCGGCAGTCGGAGCTGTGGCGGCGCACGGCAGTCGCCGTGTGGTGGAGTGGACGGTCTGCCCTGGGAGTGGGTGGGGTCCCGTTACGTTCAGTGGAGAGGGACGGCGGCAGTGGGAGTTGTGGCGGCGGTGACGGCGGACCCGCTGCCCCCGGCTGGCACCGACACACATGTTTTTGTCCACGCCAGTGTCATCACCTGACCGGCCTAGCGGGTCCCACGGCCTTGACTGGCTGTGGATGACTGTCATTGGCGTAAGCCCCGTCACCAGCAACGGTGGTACATGTGCTGTTGAGCATACACCCTGCAGCATTGTTAGAGCAAGGCTCGACCGGTGTGTGCAGCGCTCGCTCTGCTGACGCATCGGTGCTGGCCAGCCGTCCCCCGGCATCGGTGGGCCGCTCACACCTCTACTGACGCACCGGTGCTGGCCAGCCGTCTCCCGGCATCGGTGGGCCGTTCTCGCACGCCAAACTCCCATCACCTCAAACATTTCCTGTGTCTGGCCGCGCGGGCGGAACCGTCGCCGCGCCGCCCGCATGTCGGTGTGCCGACGCCGAGCTGACAGGTCACCGCCGAACTGACAGGTCACCGCCGAGCTGACATTCAGCGCGTGACGCCGAGCTGAGTGTGTCAGACGGGCCACCGCCGACGGCTGTGCAGCCTGGACACAGTGACCCGTTGTCGACAGGCGGCCGATGCTTGGGACCCCTCTGCGTGCGTGTGTGTGGTGGCGTCGGCCGGGCGCTGTGTCGCACTGCATCGCGCCGTCCTTTCCGGCAGGTAATCCTCGCATGGGCTACAAGGAGAACGTCGACATCTGGGTCCATCGGCTGCATCATGGGCGAAATAATCCGCGGCGCCGTGCTGTTCCCCGCTCCGACCACATGACCAGTGGAAACAAGATCATCGGGTCAGTGTCGCGGGTGGGGGAGCGGCCGTCACTAGGAAAGCAGCGGGGTGGCGCTGTGGTCGTCACTAGGAAGCAGCAGCGGGGTGGGGGGCGGCAGTCGCTAGGGGAGGAGGCAGCGACAGAGGGGTGGGGCGGCGTCACTAGGAAAGCAGCGGGGTGGGGGGGTCGGCCGTCCATTAGGAGAGGCAGCGGGGCGGGGGCGGGACCGTCGCTGGGGAGGCAGCGGGGTTGGGTGGCGTCGCTGGGAAGGCAGCGGGGTGGGGGTGGGCGGCGTCACTAGGAAAAGGGCAGCGGGGTGGGGGCGGCGTCGGCTGGGCAAGGCAGCGAGGTGGGGGCGGCGTCACTGGGAAGGCAGCGAGGTGCTGCGGCGTCACTAGGAAGGCAGCGGGGTGGTGGGGGCGGCGGTCGCTGGGAAGGGCAGCGGGGGGGGCGGCGTCACTGGGAAGGCAGCGGGTGGGGCGGCGCCACTGGGAAGGCGAGGTGGGGCGGCGTCACTGGGAAGGCAGCGGGTGGGGCGGCGTCACTGGGAAGGCAGCGGGGTGGGCGGCGTCACTGGGAAGGCAGCGGGGTGGGGGCGGCGTCACTGGGAAGGCAGCGAGGTGGGCGGCGTCACTGGGAAGGCAGCGGGGTGGGGGCGGCGTCACTGGGAAGGCAGCGGGGTGGGGCGGCGTCACTGGGAAGGTAGCGGGGTGGGGCGGCGTCACTGGGGGCAGCGGGTGGGGCGGCGTCGCTGGGAAGGCAGCGAGGTGGGGCGGCGTCACTGGGAAGGCAGCGGGTGGGGCGGCGTCACTGGGAAGGCAGCGGGGTCGGGCGGCGTCACTGGGAGGGCAGCGGGTGGGGCGGCGCCACTGGGAAGGCAGCGAGGTGGGGGCGGCGTCACTGGGAAGGCAGCGGGGTGGGGACGGCGTCACTGGGAAGGCAGCGGGGGGGGGCGGCGTCACTGGGAAGGCAGCGGGGTGGGGGCGGCGTCACTGGGAAGGCAGCGGGGTGGGGACGGCGTCACTGGGAAGGCAGCGGGGTGGGGCGGCGTCGCTGGGAAGGCAGCGGGGTGGGGACGGCGTCACTGGGAAGGCAGCGGGGTGGGGCGGCGTCACTGGGAAAGCAGCGGGGTGGGGCGGCGTCACTGGGAAGGCAGAGGGGTGGGGCGGCGTCACTGGGAGGGCAGCGGGGTGGGACGGCGCCGTGGCGGGTCCCCAGGGTTCTGGCTGAACAGTTGGCCAGAGATAAGGGAAAGAGGGGCTTCATGGACGAGTGGATACGGCGGCCGTCGATTTGGTTAAGGGCTGTGGTAAATTGGCATGTTCATCAACTCGCCGGCAGCGCTCTCACAGAGGGACTAAATTCTTTTTGATTGGAGTGGTTGCGATAGAGTCCAAAGGATTGTATAAGACATGCTCATTTTTACATAAATTGGTGTTGGGCCTGCTGCATGGAGACTGGTGCATTTTGCATGGGCGCGACGCCCGGTCACCATCGCCTGTGACGGGCTCAGTGGGTGCCCATCGCCTGTGATGGGCTCAGTGGGTGCCCATCGCCTGTGATGGGCTCAGTGGGTGCCCATCGCCTGTGATGGGCTCAGACGGTGCCGTCGCCTGTGATGGGCTCATGTCGGTGGCCATCACGCTGCTGCTGGAACTGCCGGCCACACAGATTTACGTTCCCGCGGAACGGCGGCCTGTCTTTGTGGGATCTCCCTGTCTACCGAGAAGAGAGAGCTACAGAGACAGAGGATTCTGCTGGCCAACGCGCCGCCCAGCTGAAGTTCTCGTTCGGCCGCCGGGGCACCACTGTGTCCAGTTTCGAGCCCATGTGGTCGTTGGTCGGTCGAACTTGCATACGCCGGCGCTCCCGCCCATATATTGTTCGTGTGTGTTGAAGACGGACGGGTATTGCGCCCGCGGGTGCTCCTGTAGAAGTTCTTAAAACTTCCCGCAGCATACCGCAGACCAGCACATTTGGTCAGTCCTGTTCGCCTTCTAAGTAATGTGCCCCTGTCGTCCCCAGAACAGCTGGGCACGCCGTCCAAGGAGTTCATGGAGCGCCTGCTGCCCACCGTGCGGAACTACGTGGAGAACCGGCCCCGCCACCCGGGATACAGTTTCGAACGCCTCTTCCCCGACATGCTGTTCCCCGACGACAACACCGAGAACGGCAAGGTCAAAGGTCAGCTGGGGCGAGTCGGGCCGAGTGGTCGTGTTGTGTGCATGTCTGCCGGCTTCCGGCTAACAACGGCAGAAGGGCGCGGGATGTGCCGTAGGTGTTGGACTGGACGTCAGGCTGTCCCGGTCCGAGCGCTGGCGGACAGGACAGCGTCGGGCGCCGCGGCCATGCCATATCAACAACTCAGCGTACAGCAAGGCGGTGCGCGATGCCCGTAGTTAATAGCTGTCCGCTGTCGTCTGATTATCGGGGGAGGATTGCGCGTTGGTGGCGGGTTTGACTTTGGTTGTGGGACCGCTTTCTGGCCCCCCCCCCCCCCCCCCCCCCATAGCAAGCAACGACCAGGTTCGATTGATGTAGGCCAACCTGACTGGGCTCGCATACAGTCTTCGCTTAACCCGGCTGCTCGCCGCATGAACTGAACAGATGTTAACTCTGCGGAATGCTCAGTTCACGGCCGCGCAGTCAGCTGGCAGCGGCCTGACCTGGTCTGTCCCAGCCCGACCCCTGCTCGTCTGATGTGGTGACGCAGCGGGACCGGTTGACGTGGTGACGGAGCGGGACCGGTTGATGTGGTGACGAAGCCGGACGGTTGATGTGGTGACGGAGCGGGACGGTTGACGTGGTGACGAAGCGGGACCGGTTGATGTGGTGACGAAGCCGGACCGGTTGACGTGGTGACGCAGCGGGGCCGGTTGAGGTGGTGACACAGCGGGGGCCGGTTGAGGTGGTGACGGAGCGGGACCGGTTGAGGTGGTGACGGAGCGGGACCGGTTGAGGTGGTGACGCAGCGGGGCCGGTTGAGGTGGTGACGGAGCGGGACCGGTGATGTGGTGACGGAGCGGGACCGGTGATGTGGTGACGGAGCGGGACCGGTTGATGTGGTGACGGAGCGGGACCGGTTGAGGTGGTGACGGAGCGGGACCGGTTGAGGTGGTGACGCAGCGGGGCCGGTTGAGGTGGTGACGGAGCGGGACCGGTTGATGTGGTGACGGAGCGGGACCGGTTGATGTGGTGACGGAGCGGGACCGGTTGATGTGGTGACGGAGCGGGACCGGTTGAGGTGGTGACGCAGCCGGGCCGGTTGAGGTGGTGACGGAGCGGGACCGGTTGATGTGGTGACGGAGCGGGACCGGTTGATGTGGTGACGGAGCGGGACCGGTTGAGGTGGTGACGCAGCGGGGCCGGTTGAGGTGGTGACGCAGCGGGACCGGTTGATGTGGTGACGGAGCGGGACCGGTTGATGTGGTGACGGAGCGGGACCGGTTGATGTGGTGACGGAGCGGGACCGGTTGAGGTGGTGACGGAGCGGGACCGGTTGACGTGGTGACGGAGCGAGACCGGGGCCGGACCGGTTGATGTGGTGACGGAGCCGGACCGGTTGACGTGGTGACGGAGCCGGACCGGTTGATGTTGCAGCGTCGCAGGCGCGTGACCTGCTCTCCAAGATGCTGGTGATCGATCCGGAGCGACGCATCTCCGTGGACGAGGCGCTCCGGCACCCTTACATCAACGTCTGGTTCGAGGACCAGGAGGTGAACGCGGTGAGTGCTGCCACCTTTTGCGGCGTAGGATGTTAAGCCTCTCCTTAGCCCGTTCACTTCCGTTGTGCTGTCTGCCGGGCATGACGTTCGCGAGTCATGTGGTGAATGTGCCGGTTCTGTGTCGGAATGTGAGCCTCCATGCAATCGCCGCCCCTCCATCGCTATATAGGCTCTCCGTGGCTTACATGTGACCTTTATCTCCGCCTGCAGCCACCGCCTGGCCCGTACGACCACTCTGTGGACGAGCGGGAGCACACAGTGGAGCAGTGGAAGGACCTCATCTACAAGGAGGTGATGGACTACGAGAGCGTCCACAACTCGATGGGCCTGGCCAACGCCAACGTGGAGGCCGCCAACGCCGTAGCGCCGGCTGTGCCACGCAGGTGAGCTGCGGCCAGCGCACTGGACACTAGACGGGGCTCGATCGTCCCCACTGGGAGGTGCGTGGCGGTCGCAGCATGCCCCTGTGTTTTGCCCTCCGTTGGCGCGGCCGCCCACTTCTCGACGGCGAATGGCCTGGCAGGTGCCTCCCGGGCCGCATCTGGTGAGAACACTCGCCGCTGGTCTGTCGACCCGCTCGGCGTCTGTACTCCCTGCGGCTCATAGCCGAAGTGCACCGTGCATGAAGGGGTTCGGGAGATGGGAAAGGCGTTCGAATGGCGACGGCTGTGCGCCACCGACGCCGGCGGTCGGCCGGCGCCCTGACCGCTGTCCCCATTGCCACTGGCAGGTAGGACTCGGCCGACTGGTGGACAAAATGGCGCGTGAAGATGGGATGGTGCCAGCCTCCGTGAGTGACGCTCAGTCACCTAGTGGACGGCACGGCGCGGCCGAGCTGATGACGTCAGTGGACGGCGAATACGTCATCGGGCGGGAAGCACTCCAGCCGGCCGACCGAAACTTCACGCCGCCTGTCCACCAAGCGATAGAAACTGACTGTACATACGACCATTCCGAGAACTAGTGTTTTACAATTGAGGTGATAGATGTCGCCCGCGGAGGCGGCGGCCCACCGCTCCGAATGAGTAGCGAACTGGCTATCTAGGCACTAACCAATCGTGATTGTTGTTAATTTGTAGCGGTACTTACCACGTCTCGCGTTCCTTCTGGCTTCAATAGGCGTGCGCTGACACGCTGTCGCCCGGCTGCAGCCTTTGTGCCGCGGCTGGTGCCCGTCCCGGCCAGGCTGGCACACGGCTGCCGTCCCGGCCGCATGGCCCGTCCGCCGTCGTGTGGGTCACCCTCCCGGACCTCTTCGGACGGCGGAGCGCCCGCTCCAATAATGGTGTAGCACCGGTGGACCGTGTGGAGCCGGAGCCCGTGGGGTCCGGTTCGCCGTCGCGCTGCTAGGCACGGAACGGGGCCGGTCCCGGTCAGCACAGATAGCATCCGGTGTTCGGCAGGCACTCTTTGGCACGCTGGTGACGGCCTGGGATGCGACCACTGCTCCTGCGCCCAGTCGACTGATTTGTGTGCATGACCGTGTATGCAATTCCTGACTTACGCGAGGACGCCATTTTTAGTCGGAATGGTGTTGTTTTGATTAAGCTTTCTGTTTTAAATGCGCACACTCATGCCGTGACCCATGGATTGTTAGGCGCGATTTCAGCGGCGGTTATGATCTGACCGGGCCCGCAGTGGTAGATTTTACTTGGACAGTCAAATGTTATCGGTTGTTTGTCGGAGGGGAGCGGTTTCGTTGTACACTGACGCCCGGTGGCCACGACTTGACTGTGGTGCTTCGTTTGTTTTACGCCCGCCCGTGAGTGCGCTTATTTGCATCACTGAAACCGGGCGCACTCGAGCTCCGGGCCCTCGAAGACTGCCGCGGGCGGGAATCCCGCCCGCGGCGGCGTTGTGCTGGCTGGCGGCCGTCCCGGGTCGCTTGGGCTGCGGCTGGGCGCGGTCGTCGCCGGCGGCCGCCAGCACGCATCAGCGGCGGACGGGCAGTGGCTGGAGTTGGCCGGCACCAGCGGCGGCGGCGACGGCGGCGCGGGTGGCGGGATCCGGCCGACGGCAGCCACCGCAGCTGCCGACGGACGGGCGGCGTTGGAGGTGTGGTGGCGGACTCTGTCTCGGGTCGGGTCGCCAGCACTTCGCTGCGGTGCCCTGGAGTTCCAGTTTTGTGGCCGGCGACGCCATCGGTTTAGTGGGCGCGGCGCACTTGTCCAAAGCTGCGCCGCGGGAGGAGGCGGGTGATGGCGAGGGTGGCGCGGGGAGGGGCCGCTGCGCGGGAGCGCCGCCCCGGGCCGGCGCGACCCTGTGATACCGGAGCGGAGCGCTCAGCCCGCGGCCAACCGCGCTCCGGTGCTCCCGCTAGGTGTGTGCATGAGATGCGTGATCGTGCGGTGCGTAACTGGGAGCCAGCGTGACGATGCGCAGCGTGAGGACACGCTGTGGTGCAGGTGATCACGAATATAGGACACATCTATCCGTTATCGGCTGCGTCTGGACAGACAGACAGAATGAAACACGGCAGCGACTAGGAGTGCACCACAGCAGCCTGTTGGGTGGATGCTGGTAATGGGATGATTAATAGTAACGCCTTTTGTTGTTAAATGGCAATGTTTGGGTGTTGTCAGCAGAGTTCCGGGGTGGGGGCTTAAGGAGTCCCGTTTGCGCTGTCCTGATCTCAGCTATATGCGCGAACGAGTGAGCTTCGGTGGGGGTGGGGGCTGCTGGTGTCCCGTTCGTACTGTCCTGATCTCAATCATATCCGCGAACGAGCGAGCGCATGATGCAGGCCCGAGTGCGTCGGCTGCACTGTCGGACGCGTGCCAGGAGCTAACGCCGTTACATCGGCTGTGCTGTCTGGCGCGTGCGAGGAGCTGACACCGTTACATCAGCTGTGCTGTCGGACGCGTGCCAGGAGCTAACGCCGTTACATCGGCTGTGCTGTCTGGCGCGTGCCAGGAGCTAACACCGTTACATCAGCTGTGCTGTCGGGCGCGTGCCGGGAGCTAACACCGTTACATCAGCTGTGCTGTCTGGCGTATGCCAGGAGCTAACACCGTTACATCAGCTGTGCCGTCGGGCGCGTGCCAGGAGCTAACGCCGTTACATCGGCTGTGCTGTCGGGCGCGTGCCAGGAGCTAACGCCTTTACATCAGCTGGGATGTCGGGCGCTTGCCAGGAGCTAACACCGTTACACTAACATACGGTGCTGATGTTCACATACCAAACGGAATCACACGTCTTTGGGGATTCATTTTGCTTTCCCTGCTTTGTTTTTTGCTTTGGATGCGAATGTTTTAGATGTGGAGATATTGAAATGGCATGTGCTCTAACCGCTGGTAAAGTTTTCGAAGAGGTCAGTCCTGCAGTTGCCGAGTAAAGACTTCGCCTGATCGCTCTTGATCGCTCTGTATACGGTTTTTGGTTTTTGCAATCGCAAGGCTCATACGGGTTTTGAAGGGGAACGTGGTGACACGAGGCCACCAGTTTCAGAGGCAGCTATCTAGGTCGAGGATGATACGACCTCGCCGCCATCCAGCAAAGTAGACTCGAGCCAAGGTATAGATCCTCTCCAAACCAACACGGATCAAAACCGGAAATGCGGTTGCATTGGCCGTTCTGGAACTGGTGACCTATGGTTACTACCCCCACCTTCAAATACTGCTTGCACCGCTATGGGGCTTGCAGTCTGTGTGGACCTGTGTAGCCAAGTCCAAACTCACAGACCGCTTGACTCTTCAAAACATTTACCAACAGATAGAGCGCCAACGGTTTCAGTAACCGTTCTGAGACTGCCAACCTCAGATCGCCACTTTCACCCTCAAGACTGCACAAACCTGTTGGGGCGATCCAGCCAAGTCCATACTGGGAAAGTGTAGCGCTGAAATCTTCGGAATATTCACCAGCAGAGTGCATGCGATTTCGTGAGCAGTTATGGAAATGGGTGGCATCAGGTCACCATTTTCAGCTTTAAAAAACCGCGCAACCCACTACCGAACATTGCAGCCAAGCCAAACTGGGAAATCGCTCGATCGATGTCCTCAAAATCTTGACCAGCAGGCAAAGCGCCGACGATGTCTTGAGCCGTCCTGCAGCTGCTAAGCTCAGGCCATCATTACCAGCAGGCAGAGCACCGGGATGTCTTGAGCCGTCCTGCAGCTGCCAAGCTCAGGTCACCATTACCAGCAGGCAGAGCACCGGCGATGTCTTGAGCCGTCCTGCAGCTGCTGAGCTCAGGTCATCATTACCAGCAGGCAGAGCACCGACGATGTCTTGAGCCGTCCTGTGGCTGCTGAGCACAAGTCACCATTACCGGCAGGCAGAGCACCGACGATGTCTTGAGCCGTCCTGTGACTGCTGAGCTCAGGTCACCATTACCGGCAGGCAGAGCACCGACGATGTCTTGAGCCGTCCTGTGACTGCTGAGCTCAGGTCACCATTACCGGCAGGCAGAGCACCGACGATGTCTTGAGCCGTCCTGTGACTGCTGAGCTCAGGTCACCATTACCAGCAGGCAGAGCACCGACGATGTCTTGAGCCGTCCTGTGACTGCTGAGCTCAGGTCACCATTACCAGCAGGCAGAGCACCGACGATGTCTTGAGCCGTCCTGCAGCTGCTGAGCTCAGGTCACCATCTTTTCGTTCAAAGACCACCTAAACCACTTCGGGCACTGAAGTTCAGTCCAAACTCGGAAATCGCTCGACTGATCTCTTAAAACGTTTACCAGCCACGCACGGTTTCACCAGCCGGCTCGAAAGGGGAGACCATCTTCATCTTTAAAGGCTGCAAACAGCTGACCTCCGGATGGGTATTGGGTGCGATGGCGGCGTGTGACGTCACTGGCGTGTGACGTCACTGACGTATGACATCACTGATATCAGTGCCAACGCGCTGGCATCCGTTTTTGAACGCGAAGTTAGTGACCTGAGAACAATAGTTTCCGAACGACTGATAGCGACATCATTGGTCCCGTATCTGCTGATAAAGTTGTGAGGACATTGGCCGGGGGATTTCCTAAGTTGAATTTGGTTATTAGGCCAAAAGGGGTTGGCGCCATTTTTTTTGTTTGAAGATATTGGATTGAGGTCTTCAGCTTGCGGGCGGCTGATCGTTGGTGCTATTCCTGCTGGTAAGTTTTTGGGAAGCTCTGTCGAACGGTTTCCGCGCTTTGATTTGGCTTCAAGGTGTCAAAGTGGTTTGTGCAGTTTTTAAAAGTAAGATAATGTGTTGAGGCCGCCAGTTTCAAAACAGTGAAGGGAACCACATTTTAACTTTCGATTGATGTTGGCTTCGAGAAATGCAGTGGAGTGGTTGTTCAGTTTGAACTTGGCCGCATGCATGGGTGTCGATTTCTCAAAATGATTGGAAGGGGGGGGGAGAATCGTGGAAGTTGCCATAAGGAGAAAAAGTGAGAAAAACATCACGGCTTTAGTCCACTTTTGTTCTGGCCACACACACACACACGCACACACCACACGCACGCACGCACGCACGCACGCACGCACACACACACACAGAGAGAGAGAGAGAGAGAGAGAGAGAGAGAGAGAGGAGAGAGAGAGAGGGAGAGATATATATATAGATATATATAGATATATATATATATATATATATATAATATATATATAACTATATGCACATGCGTTTATATATGCATATATCTGTAGTGGTATGCTACGTGACATATTCAAGCCCGGCAGCTTGCATAAGGTTCTCAAATACGCCCGTTTTGTGAAGCTGAAGGGATGCCGCCACGGGTGTCGGTTTGCATTCTTTTGGGCTGGCCACCGCCCCCCCCCCCCCCCAGATTTCCGATTTCCCCAACGGTGAATTTACCCCCTCAACCTTTTGTAGCCAAAATACAAGCAGGTGCTGCTAGTGGGAAATCAAATTCATATCAGTGTTATAGAGCGGCTTTAATGTTTGTTTCGCAGGTGAAATGAGAAAGAAAATGAAAACTGTGGTGTCATGTTCAATTCAATGCGGCTGGCTGAGTAAGGCACAGTGAAAAAGCCCCGCGCTTGCACCGTGTTTACTTGAGTACTTCCGTCGTTGAATACTGTTTCTATTTGGTCTGTGTGGTTACTTTTTCTTGCATGATGTATGCATCTAATTGTATTTATTTCATTTGTATTTTATTTCATTTCACTCCTGCATCACATTCACTGTATTCATTAATTGTACTTGTTTTCATTCTGGGATAGTTTTGTGCAATAGTCTGAGTGTTCTACATTATTCCGTGATCTTTAAAGGTACACAGATTGCAGCAAGTTGCGTTGTTTTGCCACGATACGATGCGATATCTTATCGCGAATTGAAAGAAATTAACACCCAGACGTGAAGATTTTTCGCGCCAACGTTTGAAAGACGCCTTGAAATGTGCCGACCTGTGAACGACGTGAATATTCGATGGAACGGTTACGAAAACATGACGATCGACACCAGCCGACTAAACCGCTAGCAGCGATCGCCCGACAACGGTCACCAAAACAGCACTAGCTATGTCAAGCATGCCTGACGAGAGTGTTGCGCTGTAGCCTGCAGCCCGCCCCACGGCTGGCAGCCGAGTGTTGCGCTGTAGCCTGCAGCCCGCCCCACGGCTAGCAGCCGAGAGTTTCCGCGACAGCATTGAATAGCTGCGCACATCAACGCACTGCCTTCACTCCCAAAGCTGTACGCGGCCAACAACGTGTGAGGCCACAGCATCGACCCTGCGTCGCTCACCAAAACCTGGTCTCGACAATCAACACCAAACTAAAAGAATAATGATCTCCCATGGCGACAGCTTCCGCCAAATCAGAGCGAAGAAACCTATTAGAGCGGTGTACTCCCTTGCACTCCCGCGCACTCCAGGCCAAGGGGTTGGACCTTTCGGAGGCTGCAGAACTCATCGACGTCTGCATCAGGCAGCAGCAGGGATGCAGAAAGAAGCCAGAGGAGA